TCTGTCTGAGCACGACTGTTCATCCGAAGACAGCGTCTGATTCACTCGCTAACTGCTTATCGGTAGTTACTGAGCCCTTCACGTTCAACAAATGGGTAAAATCGACTAGAGGTTGTTTCCATAAATTAAAAAGTAACCGCGGTTAGGACTATGGTGCGAAAGTATTTGTGGTCATCGGAGTTGTCGCACTAAGCAATTCGAGAGAGAGAGAGGCAAAAAATAGGGCGTGTAATGGGAGCTCAGTAGGGGTCACATAACCTCAGAGGATTACTTCAGTTTGTTTTAGTTGGTGGATCGGTTTTTGAGATCCTGAAGCGCAAAACGAGTATTGTCTATGGACTAAAGTGCATCGACTGTGGAGTAGCGGCATCCGCGTTAGACTTCTTTCGTCCAGCACTAAATCCAGCGTGATTAAGCAGCGCAAGGTATCCCCATATACTGAAAACAAACAAATGCGAAATAAGATTCATTCAGCTTTGGAAAATTTCCTTAGGGTATTAGGTAAAATTTTTAATGTGAGTCGTCTTTATTTTCTGGTAGTATGAAGCCAGAAAGTATCGAAGACTGCACATTTCAGAACACAGAAACAACGTATAACAGACTAACCTCACAAAACGTAATTTCTTCTGTCTTTCAGTATTTACTGGCGATCGTTTTGTGACGGCTCACGGTTGCTTACCGAATGAAACTTAAGAACGAGTAACCAAACCTTGCTGACACACCCGTGCCGTGCAAAATTACGTCACATGTAAGCGTTTGATCCCAGTTACGACGCTTGGTAGCTTTGTGCGAGTCAAGTGAGCAGCTGCATGCTTGATGCAGAATCGATTTTCATCACTTTTCATATCACCAGCAAAATGAGTGATTCAGCATCCGCGGAATTCCTAGAGAATAAAATTGAAATAATCAAACTCGGAAAATAAATGAATACAGAATCGCGTCGTATTCAGAAAACACTCAGTATTGGTACCGAATGGGACCTGTCCAGTGTGTAACGGAAAGTGACGATTTAAAATATCTTTCCTGCAGTCATGAGATTAAAATCAAAATTTGCAAAGCTGTAGTCAAGCGGAATATAGTCTGACCTTATAAGGGCATTCGTAAAAAGTAAATTTTCTGGTTAGTCCGTAAGGGACCTGTGCTCAGTCACTTTAATTGCAATGTGGAAAAAATGGAACTGATGTTTTCGAAACCGTCGATCAGTTTACCTTCCACTGATCTTCACCCACTATCAGCACGACGTCCACTGAATGCAAGCTTCGAAGCAGCTGAAACAAATCCTGATGAAATTAATCCGTAACCTGAAAGGACCTGCACTCAGCGGGTGCATACACGGACACAACGAGCAAGCTCCGACGTTTCAGTCTGTTGTAGCTGGCACCCGCAAAACCATCCAGCACAACTTCATGCAAACCACTGTTTAACAAAATCCAGTCTAGTACTGCACGCTCAAATCTCGAACTCAAATCGATCCCGACTTCAACCTGACCACGAGCACTGGATAGCGGATCATCAGACAGTCGAAGGATGAATCTTGAGACTGAGTTTTTATCTAGGGTGAGAAATGCAATCAGAAGAGTCTAATCTTGTATCCTTGTTTGGTGACAAAGCATGCATCCATTTTGAAAGTTTCAAGATTTCCATCCAGGGCAGAATTTTACTCTATCTGACAGAGGGGTAGAACGTTGTAGGCAACCAAGTGAAGTGGAAACGTGAGCTTATTTATGCCCTAGTCTTGAACGATTGTATTTAATGAGCTGCAATAAATTGTTGTGTTCTCCGTCGATCTTGAGTTAAGGCAGGAAGAATTAATAATATCCTTTACAGAGTGAATTATTTGTACTTTTATGTGGAAATAAAATCACAGAAGGGATTTTCTTTGGAAACCCTTACCGGAGCATTTGACTTAGCGATCTCCAAAACAAAGATGGTAGGTGCTCACCCAACACGGGAACGTGACCGAAGCAGGAGTAAAGTCTGGTGGCTGGGTGTTCGACTCGCGATCCTCGATCTTCGTATCAAATCTCAGTTAGGTCTTTGCGATTGTCAACAAGGTCGAAACAGTGGTGCAATGCTAGCTTGGTTTTCTAAGTTGAGTTGAGTGTTCTCAATGCATGATGGATCATTTCATGAAACGAATAATTATGGCATCACTTAAAATGATCCAGTCACCAGACTCCTATATTTTACGTGACTTGATGACTTTGCTTAACATAGGCTTTCAACGGAAATGACATTTTTCATCGAAGTAAATGCCTTTGCGGTAAACCAGCTGTAACTGTTCAAAGCCAGTGATGAAAGGACGCTCTATGTTGTAGTTCGTATATTGAAAGACAACACGTATATTACCGGCTCTTAACTGTTCGGCTTGCAATCTTTCATCTCGGCATCGAATCTCAGTTGGGACTGGTTCGAAGTGAGCCGCTGCTGATTCCTAGCAAGAGGGAAACAGCTGTTTATTGTTTCCAGTGTTTTCAATAGTGATACATTCAAAATTTTGAGAACGTCAAATTATTGATCGTTCCGAGGTACCCACAGTTGTCAATTTTTCGGATATCCAGTGCTTTCAAACATACCTGAAACAACCTAGGAGGTTGAATTTCTCAACTTACTTTCAACTTCCGTCAGTGAGGAAAATGAGTTGTAAACAGCAAAGTGAATAAAAAAGTCGAACATGCTCTCACGCAACTCTCCCGTAATGGTTATAGGGACAGTTGGAAGGTGGTGAGGCCAATTATTCGACTCAACCAGTGGTCCAGTATGGTTACCGATTCGGTGTTAGGAATTATTAAGGAACGAAAACAGCAATTGACTCTTATCCCTTTGGAGTCCATGAGAAACTAACCAGGAATAAATGTGATAAGACCAGTGTTTCCGACAAGTCGCTGCGAAGGTCGCATGCTAAATTTGATCGTTTTTCATCAAAGGGACAAACGGAGGCATTTCACTGGGACAACATCAACTGCAGCCAAAGCCTGGCTGCTGCTTTTTTCATCCGTAGGATAAATAACAATTCAAATCTCTAGATCATATGCGCTCACGTGGGCATGATGTACAAGGTGTTTAACAATGACGGGGACCCCCAGGAGTTTCGTATTTCTATTTTGTCTACTGGTGACATTAGCAGTAGCTCGTTTTTCAGTATTCCCTGCGTCAGCTGAAAAAAGTCGTCAGATTAACGTAATTGGTATTCACTAATAATCGATTCAAAAACGCAAGTTTCAACCAGAATGAGTTGCAAAAAGCAGACTCATTTCGACGGCCATGTTAGTAGTATTTCTATGAATATGCGATCGCTTGTCGTGATAAAGTTGGATCACCCAAGTCCGCCCCGAGTTAACACTTCTGATCATAGTTCTGTACTTCCGTAGCCCAAAGTTTATTGTGAAAGCAATTTTTTTAACAACTCCTCGCTCTTATTGATAACTGTTTCCATTGATGCTTGCACCCTTGAGAGTCTAGATAAACTTAGGACTTTTGTTGGTTCACCTGCGTGATCAATTGTAAATCTGCTCTGAGGAAGGTTACTCGCAGTAAAGGGAATCCCGCATAAGCATATACATTTCAGACAAGGTTGCGTTATTCGTTATCTAAAACTTATGTGACTGCACAATATCTTCAAGTCCTGTGACTGTTAGAGTTGTAAAACAAATATCCACATATTGTCATAATTTTCTTCAACCGCGTTCACAAATTCGAATTTTGCGTTCATGTGTGATGGTGATCCGTTCATGCAGTCTAAATGCACATTCACAGCTGTGTGTCAGTATGCGCTCACCTCCATTAGTGGAGTAGTCATGTCATTTTTCCTCAATTCATTATTTCAATAAGCGATAATCCGATGTGTCAGACCCACTGAATCAGTTGTAATTATGTGCCTCTTCTTCTTCCAGTTTCCGATACAACTCGATGAAAGATAAACACCAAAAATCACCCTTCGGATAGAGTAGTCAATCAAGACAAAGTCTGTGGATGTCGGATGAAACATCAAGGCTATGTAGCAGTGCCTTAATTCCCAACCACACTAAGTCCTATGTGAAAAACGAAAAATCTGTCTACTCTGGTAACTATTTTAAAATGTATTCGTAGATACATAAATGCATGTATACACACAGTTCATCGACCTAATGGAATCTCAAATAAATGCTTTCTGGCCGTGAAAGGCAGAGGCATGGATACTGGCTTGAATAAAGCCTATGCAAAGTCAAGGGACTACATAAATTGTGGTTTGGGCTGAAATCAGACAGCAAACAGTAATAAAGTGTAAACTGTGCGTGACTGTTGTGAATAGGTGTTTGTTTTACTGAATTTTAGACTCTTCGTCGTCAATAATTTGATCATCTGACTCAAGTAGAACAGCTTTCCCATTCACATCTTCCTGAGGCATTAGTGTAAAACTGGGTTCGGCACCATATTCTTCCATTTCTGAATTTTCTATTGTAGCCGGTGATTTTTTGCTAGACTTTGGCCGTCCAGGGAAAAGGAAGGATGAGCCTTTGGAAAAGCCAATCCCCGACCCACTTGAGGAACCGAACCGGGGTGGAAGTGTCTGAGATCTGGATATTAAACCGAATTTTAAACTGGCTGAGCCAAATCTCTTCAACTCTGTGCTTCTTGAAGTTGAAGCACTCGTCGGTCGAGTCCCAGACACAATCACTTGAGTCATGCTGCTTTGAATGATTCCGGGTTTCGGTTCCTTTGAATGTGGACTTTGTTTGAGTTTGAGCCATCGTAACACTAATTTTGATGCAAATGACTTCAATCCCCATACTCCTGTCGAATGAGCCACAAGTGCTGGTGATTCCATCGGTGATCCGTCCAGCGCTGTGTCTGTTACCCGCTCTCTTTGTTCTGTTGAATCAAGTAGTTCCGGCGGGCCATCGTATTCTTCCAATGGTCTTGATAGTGTAATAATCATGGTAGATTTTGGACGAGGTGATTGTGTTCCACGTGACTGACACCATAACACTAGTCGATCTATCCAGCGCTGCATCACCTCCTCATTGGGAGCCTGAACAATGAAAAAGATGAAAGATTTTCATTCATAATGGATCGACATTTGGTAATTCGTTTATGGATTTCTTATTCGATTGCAAACTACCATATAATTGTTCACATTATCAGCAAATTTTAGAGGTTATATAAACCAATCGACCACAACAAATGTCTCAGATTATACTGATCTTTTTGGCTTCAACTATTTGTATCGACCGATTATTACAACCGCTTCTGTTTACGAACAGAAGATTCCATTAAAAACCGTTCGATAAATCCAAATATTCTCTGAGCAATTCGAGATTTGGAAACCTGCCACTGTGATGTCTGTCGGTAAGCACTTTATTGTAAAACCATGGAGATCATGAGTGAGTAGATGGCTTGCGACTGATGAGATGTCGATTCACGTGATACGTCTTCACTGGACAGAACCAGGATCACGTGATTTCGTGACTTGGTTAGGATGTGAGCTTTTTGTGTGCTTGTTGGTCTGCATTGCTTAAATCGATCCTTTTATCGGATTGCCAGCGCAACGACCGCATAGGCAGCGTTCAATCCAATAGCCACACAGAGGATTCCACCAATGAACACATAAGATGTGGTCCAAGAAATGATTTCAAAATTCAATAAACTTACTTGAAATAAGTAAGATGCTCCAGTATTCGAATTCAAAATTCGAAAAACATGAGGACGTTTCGTGTAGTCCGTAGCGACTGAAACGGTCAATAGATTTCTGCTTAAATCTAAGCCGAGTTCGTTTTGGAATGTATGAGCCAACGGGCTTGAATCAGCACACGAATGTGAAAAGGGGTAGATAATATTGCAGACTTTAGACATTTACAAATTGGATATCACAATAAATAAAGCAACAGTTGTACAAATTAAAAATGTCATCCTTTTTTCCTGAATAATGGGCTTTGTATTCTGTAAAGAGCAATATTTTGTCATGCCACGTGATGGAACGTGAACGGTAAATAATCAGCCAGATTAACCTTGAGCTATTTTGCGTGATGCTCGTGGTGTGCTTCAGTTTGGATAGACAGCCACAGTGGCACACCAGCGTGCCACAGTGCTCGACCTGCAATCGTAAAGCTCACACAAAATGTGTCTTTATTACCACGGCTCAGTGATGCATGTAGGTGAAGCACGGAGATAGTGTTGACGAAGGTGACTTCGAATAAGAGATGTGAATATAAGTTAGGACATGGTGCATATGCACCGCAGTTGATGATCCTGAAAAAGTAAAATGAAATAGCTGCACTCTCATTGTTTCTATTTTTTCATTTTTCGGATGGGCTTTTAGACCCTTTTCCGTAGCCGCCCAGTAGCTCTAGTGAATTCGAAAAGTCTTGGTTTATTGTTGCAAAACATCTTTTTATACACACGATATATGGCTGTTGTAAACAAAACCATGCATGAAAGTCCACTGATAATCCTAAACGGCCCGTCTGTCTAGTGGAACTGTGATGGTTGATTCAGCTCTGACCAGTGCAGAGCTAAGACAGCTGCTAATTGGTTGATTGCTCCACTTGGTTGGCCTCACTCGTCTGCGACTTTGGACAGCCGATCATGTGCTGTCTACTTCGCAGCCTGTGACACAGCCCTGGAATCTGGACTGGCGAAAGCGTGCTGCCTGCCACTGAACCAGGCCGTCTATTGGCAATGTGTCGGCCCGTATCCTCAGGGACACCGTGGTGAATTATTTCATAACCCATAACGTGTACAATGGAAGTCCTAACAAGAATTATTTTCTATAGTTTACCAGCTGAGACGCCTCTTCTGGGAATGGGACTCAGTTGTCAGCGGAAACAAGATATGTTGGTGCTCTGGACACCGAATCATCATCGAAGCGATGATAGATAAAAGCTTTAGTATACAAACTCACGCACATAGATGAAATCAGATCATGTGACTCAGAAATTAGACAGCAGACTGGCGATCTGAACAATTTTCTATCACATTTGGTCATATTGAAGTCATTCACTTGATAATTATCAACTGATTTGTCATGCACTAGCAAAACTCAGCTCACCCAAGCGAACCATGGAAGCACAACTGCACATCTGTTCTATCTATCTTGTTAGGAATCTTCAGAGGTGCATATCTACCGAGCCCCACTGGGACTCCAACCCCAAGGGTAAACAACTACGAGTCGAATACCCAACCACCAGGATATCTGAACTGGATCTCAACAGTTTGTTTGCCATCACAACTACATTGTGTGCAGTTCTTCTATCACTGACATTTACACGGTAACAAACCGCTGCTTTTAGAGCAATCGACTCTCTTGATGGAGGAGTTCTCTGTGGGAATCCTGAGTGACTACAAATCAATACACTACAACCTACAGAGCATGATTGCTCAATCCTTATGAGTAGAGGGAGAACAGAACTCATTGAATTATTTGTCATGTAGTAACAGCGCACAGCTCACCGATGGGGCTTGTGGATGAACACCGCTGATGTTTTCGAACAAAGAAAATGAAATTATTGTAGAGACGTACTTCCAAGGCTTTCAATGGGAATCACTTGATAATCCATCCAAACATCCCACAACTCCAAATAATCGGCTTGGCTATTGTTTGACCAGGAGCTTCTCAATTTCCCTTTTGCGGACGACCAGCAGTGTATCTGAATGTTATAGCTCTCTGTTTGCTGGTTCACACGTGTCAGGTGCTAACGCGCTCATATCATCGATCAATTTTGGTCGCTAATAGTACTCTGATTCGCTTCCTCTCTCAGTACCGTGAGGCTTCGTACCGATTCGTACTCAGAATCTCGAAATCACAATAACCGATTATTCCTGGTAGTTTGTTGAACTCATCTCAGATATGGGCATGAAAAAATGCAATGAGAAAATAAAAGAAAAAGCTGAATTTACTCTTGCTTATTATAATCTGACTTGGTCCGATAGAACAGCAATTGTTGCGTATTGGCCTCGATAAGCACATACAGTTCGTACCACGTCCGATCACGTGCCCTCACCAAGTGTGCCGCAAACTCGTGCTTTCGCGACAATAGATCACCCATGTTTTCTGATCGAATAGAATGCAAATGAAAGCCATCAGAGCAATTGATTATTCGGCTGGTGAATCTTCAAATATATTGTGTGTTCAATAGATTCGTCGAAATCCAATGGTAGTTCATATCCGAAACGCAGTAGTCATCGACGGTAAGGCATTTTGAAATTTGCTTACTGTATATAGTTTGAGCTTCAGGGCCCAATTAAGGTATATCACAGCATCAAAAATTATCTGAATTCATTGATATTTTCCTTTTATTTAACTTGATTTCTCACTGCGTTATGGGCAATTGAAAGCATATGACCTCAGAATTACCAGGGTATGGAAAGATAGCTAATTTGGTAAACAAGACCACGTGAATTCTCCTCGTTTACATTTAGGAAGATTTTCCACTGAATATCTCGTTGGAAGCCATTATTTAGTCAATATGGCTTTTATATTTTCGCTCGCAAAAGACCAGAAGAAATTCTTTCGAAATTGAGGGATTTCACGTTATATGTGGATTATTTATTTTTCTCAACGATAACGGTCTAACTTAGCAAAGAGGGTAATTCCAGTGTGCACCAAAGTGAACCTTGAAGCCCCGGTCATTCGGTTGTGTTATACGTTTATATTGCGTTCGCGATAATGAAAGAGCTGCTAAGATGAAATTTTCCGGCACCTCAGTAAAGATAGCGAAAGTCGAGTTGCGAGCTAGAATTTTCTCTCATGGACTTGAAGTAAGTGAGAGCACAATTTATTGGATAATTCATAAAAGACATCCACGAGAACACAATGTGGGGGCAGAAGACCCATCACAGCAGAGAATAAAGGTGCATTGCACTCAAAATCAGTGTCACAAACTCCCACAATCCTGCGAAAGGATGTTCTCATGCATTCACACTCCCTGTTGCAGAGAAGGATACAGCAACTTGAAATGTGGCTAATATCGGTTGACGTTCGATAAGTGAAGGCACTTTTTGGTTTTGCGGGTTTGGAAATTTTTCGTAATGATGCTAATGTTCAAAGTCGTCGACCCCGGTGGGATTTAAACCCAAGCATGGTTGCCTGATATGAACCACACTGTTCTCAGTCGGGGATACAAACAGCTAGGTGAAATTTGTTTGCTCATTCCTCAGCACATATCAACCCTTCTGTTCCACGGTGCAAACCCAAACATTTGAGTCACAGGTCCCTTGTTATCACCAATATATATATATATATATATATATATATATATATATATATATAATGTTGAGAAAGACTGTCATTTCTTCATATAAAACAGTTGCGTCGTGAAAAAGGACGTTCATACAAAGCTGAAAATTATGCCCTAGTCGAGATTCTATCCAGGCCAATAGAGGTCGATCTACACAAACTGAATGGCACGTGTGTCCGGACATTCCTGATATATCATAGTAGTCACGATACTTGGAGAGTTCTCACACCGCTCATCGGTAAACCTAAAGAAACTTCCACCAGCGGTTTATGTTGAATAACTCAGTTGGAACTTCATCAGTTACAAGCACATGACATCATCTTCGACTTTCGATGCTAAAAGCCATTTTGTACTCAACAGTCATTTCTTTAATCTCTTCAAAGTATAAAAATAATCGTCTCAGCTTCGGCCTAATAACCCGTGTGGCCCTGATAGACTGCCGCCCAAGCTGGGTGATATGCAGTTGTACGAATATGTTGAAATCCAACGACGGAAAGAAAATCACGGAAAAGTTTCGATTGAAATTGTGCGCCTCCGTCTATGGTGATCCTAGATAAAATACCAAACACAGAAATCCAGTGGTGTAAAATCTTTTTGGGAATTGTTTCACTGGAGATGCCTCCTATAGGGACAGCCATGAGCCAACGCGTAAAACGATCCACACGTGTGAGGAGAAAATGGTATCTGTCGACCGATGGTAAGGCACCAACAAAATCTAAGTTGGCACGAGAAAAAAAGCGCATTGCTTGTGGGTATTTGGACGGAAGAGGAAAGTACAAGCCGGCGAAAAAATGCTCCGTTGTCATGGTGTGCATGCTCTAGACCAAAAACGAAGTCTCTATTCACATTCTGCCAAACATAGTGATCGGAAACAAGTCTGACGAAGACGCGCATTCCAGAATGGGGTATGGAATGTGGACGCCTAAACATCAAGCAATGAAGGGAACAGGGAACAAACGGGCAGGCTTACCAGTGGAGACATCGCAAACATATGTACCATTTCTGTCAGGTAGGGGTAAATCATTCAACATCAGAAAGGACAATGAGTGGCAGCTCTGTAGTTCTTGTTCATTCTTTTGAACCTATGCTATCACGGACGGACTGAATGCCACTGGGTCGGTTCCTCGAAGGATGCCTGGGCGAAAGAGGGCTTCAGCCACGAAGTTGCTGGATCACTGTATTTACCTTATATCCGTGATATATTTGGAAATGTAGTCAGGGTGTCTAGTTCCCATGGGCGAATAAAGGTCGCCGATTGAAGCTGATGCATAAGTCAAAAGCTTATAATCAGTGTAGATAAGGAAGCTTTTGCCTTCCAAAATGTGTCTAAAGCATTTTATTGTAAGGTCGATCGCAAGCAATTCACGGCCAAAGTTGTTGTAACGAGTCTGTGGTGATTGCAGCTTTTGAGAGAAAAATGACAACGGCTGTCTGACCCCATTAGCAATCTGTAGCGATTGGCCGCCAAAGGCTATTCGGGAGACATCTGCCTGCCATTCAAGAATAGCGCTGTCAACATTGTTTAATTATGCGGGCAAGGGAACTTTGGACTACATTTGCTTATCCCCTTGGAATGCTGATTTAACTTCAGGAGTCGTCGAAAACGTGTGCAGCCCTTTCTTCAAAAGCTCAGTAGGTGGTTGCAAGATCACAGGACAATTTGGTATGAATCGACAATAGTAGTTGACAATGCGCAGGAAACGAAGGAGACTCATGAACGATTGGGGTTCCGGATAGTCCTAGATAACATTCATCCATACTAGCAACAAGGACGTTGTCAATATAAACGAAAGCAAAATCCAGACCACAGAGAACTTAACCCATAAGTAGCTGGAATGTTTGAGTGTAGTTGCGCAAGCCAAAATGCATACGCAAGAATTCGTACAACCCAAATGATGTTATGATAGCGGTCTTCTGAACGCCCTGAGACGCGTTGGAAATACGGTAATGCGGTCTTACCAAATCCAATTTGGAGAAAATGCTTTTGCCACACACACTGTCGGAGAAGTAGTGAATGTGTGAAATTGAGTAACGGTCGGGCACCAGTGCGGTAATCACTTCACGGGCACCAGTCACGGTTGTGCTCTGGAACCATATGGAGTGGGGAGGTCCAAAGATTGCTTGATGGGTGAATTATCCCCAAGTTTAGCATATGTTCGAATTCTGCTTCTGCTACAGACAGACGCTCAAGTAATAACCGGCGAAGACGCGCTGCGGTTAGTGGACCTTTGATGACAATGTGATGTTGGACGCAGTGTGGTGCTTGTGAAGGTGATATATTGTGGTTGGGTGACTGCCGGAAAATCGTCCAAAATGGAGGAAAACGGAGGGCGTACTGTCATGGGACCTTCTCCGAGAGGGATCGTGGAAACACCCGTTCCGTATGTTTTAACAGACGCGTTGCTGTTCAAAAGAACACGGTGGTTCATATCAACCACGAGTGAAAAGGTCGAAAGGAAATCAACTTCGAGAACAGAGTGATTAACGTCAGCAATCGTGAAAATCCAAGGGAACTGTCGGCGTAAACGAGGGTCAAGTGGCACTAGCTTTTGACAGTATATCTTTATTGCGGAAGCCATTGTGAGCCGGTGACTGAATGGTCAGTTCATTCGCCATTCGGATGAGGCAAAACATCTTGGGTGCCCAGTTTACCTCTCCGCCACGGCTGCAGGTGAGTATACCGTTTTACACCTCATGCGCCACCCGTGGTTGGTTTGGAATCAGAGTCTAACCATCTTCCCTAGGCCGAATCTCTTAGTCAACCGACCCGGTGGAAAGCGCTGGGCATTCGTTTTCGCCCTCTCAATTTAGTGGGAGTACCTCAACCACGAGAAGCCAGTGAGTAGGACTTCCTCAGCAGAGGCTGTGACAAACTCACGGCCATTTGGGCGCATTTTAAGAGGTGTTCAGGGCAAGTAGCTAATTCGGAGCCTGCGACACTCCCTCCCGACCATATATATATATATATATATATATATATATATATATATATATATATATATATATATATATATCATCCAAAGGGCGAATGAACTGACCATTCAGTCACCGGCTCACAAGGGCTTCGAGAACAGGCGAATGAAACATACAATGGGCCATTCGCTCATATGGACCAACCCTACTGTCTTGCAGGACGTGCTTGGTTGCGCAAAGGCTAAAGGTGCATCCTTGAATAAAAATGCCTATTCTGAACTGGGCGACCGAGTAGTACAATAGCTCAAAACGCAAATAACCATGAGAGGCTCTACCACTGTGATTAACTTCTCTCCCTTGTGCACGAAAAAACACTGTCGTACGCCGTACTAAACTTGTTCTCCTATTTCCACCCCGTTCACACTTTCTGTTCCACTCCCACACCCCACGAGTTCCTCGGTTTACCGTGCCTGCTGTAGTGCCACTGATGGAAATTCTGGCTATATTCTCCCTTCTCCGTCTTCGGCTAGCTTCTGAGTCTCACCGAACCCGCTACCACCGGCTGATGCTCTGCTTCGTCTTCAATGCCCATTCAAACTAGTCAAATTCACATGCGAACCCTGATGAGTATAAGACAACTGGCGAGTTTGGATGGTACGCTTGAATCCCATGCCATTAATGTGTGTTGCTTTTAAGAAACTCGCATTTGTAACTCCGGTTTCATCATTTGGCTGATGCCTCCATATAATTCTTCCGTGAAGTTTCACTTAGGCTTTTATGGGGACCCTGAGGCTGCGGCTTCTGGTCTTGCTGACGTTGGCATTGTTCTCAGTGAAGGGGCTCAAGTGGAGCTGCTAAACTGGATCCCAGTCGGCAGTCGACTATGCGGAGTGGGACTCAG